GAAAACCAGAAGCCCAGAGCCAAGGACTCATGGTGACCTGTGCTCTAGGAGGCCCTGGTTCCTGTTCTGGCTGTTTCGACCTATGTCAGACCACAAGTTCCTCTTTCTCAGGAGGTGATCAGAGCATCCCCTTCGCACTGGGCCATCTGCACGAGCCAGCACGTCCCCAGGCGTCTGCAGCCTTCTCCCCTGCGTGGGAGCCTCACACGGGAATCTTGGGGACACTTAAAAACATTAGAACTGAGCAGGCCCCTGAAATGTAGACCCTGACCTCCTCCCCGCTCTAGCGGGTAAGGGAGTGGAGACCCACCGAGGGGTGGTAGTAAACATTTGCCCAGCCTCCTGAGAAAAAAGCTCTCCCAGAAAAGTGAAATGACTTATCCAGGGTCATGTTGCTCTCCCCTAAGATCCAGGCACAAGTAAAGTAGGGGAGGAGGACTCAGCCTGCACCTTCTTACTCTTGACGTGACCTGAAACCTCTGAGGTTCAGCTCTGCCCTTTTGTTCCTGAAAGAAGGCTGGGCTTGGGCCCTACCAGGGAAGGAAATCCCACTAAGATGAGTTGGAATGTAATTCTCCTCCCTCTAATACACACTGAGGGCTTCCCATATGCCCAGCACACAGCCATCCACTGAATCCTTACAAAGCCATGCAAGCTGGGTATTTTTGTGCCCAATGTACATGTGACGAAACACGGGCACAGCAGGGCCAGGAACTGAGCCTAAGTCTGTGCTGCTCTGAAGTTCAGACCCTTAACCAGCTCAGCTGACCCTGCAAAGGCCTCTTTCTGTTTCCTCCCCCTCCTCCACCTTGGAGTGGGGTTTGGGTCTCATTACGTCTGCTTCCTACCCACAGAGATTCAGTGGCCCCAAAGATAAGAGACATGCAGGCTTGTGCTCAGACGCCCTGTAGACACGGCATGATAGAACGTCAGGACCCAATAGAGACCTTGTTCACTTTTATGCCTGAATATCATAGTTTCTACCCAAATAGACCCAGAGTAGGTCTAGGAACAGGACATCACACATGTCCCCAGGGGCTTCGTATGGCTGGCTCAGTCTCATCCTTCAGGTCTCGGATTAAATGTCGCCCCCTCAGCCAATCCTGCCTGACCACCCTCCCAGGTCGTGTAGGTGGCCCCTCTTCCTCACTCTCTTGGCTGTTTCCTTCAAGGCCCTGGCTTATAATGTCCATGTTTCCCCCTATTAACCTGTGAGCATCTAAGGGCAGGGGCTCCACCCATTTTCCTTCCTGCGAAGCCCCATGCCTCGCACACGGTGCCCGGCCCATGGCAAGCCCTGAATAATCTGTTAGCAAACAAGTGGGCGAATAAAGAACGAATGAAGAGGCAGCAGAATATAGTGGGCAGAGAAGTGGAGGCTCGAATCTTTCCTCTGTTGCTTACCGGCAGTGTGACCTTAGGCAAGTTCGTTAACCTTTCTGAACCCCAACAGCCTTATCCTTAAAATGGCAATAACAAGAACTTGCTGAGCCCACCTCGCAGGGTTCTTACGAAAAGTGATAAGATGTGGTGGGTGCTGGAGCCTTCCCCACATCCTGCCGCCTGAATTGACCTCCCCCTGCCTCCTCCCTGAGTACCCAAGTGCCCCCCTCATAACGGCCTCTGTGTCATGGACAAGCTTGTGTGTCACCTAGGGAGGTATTAGCTGGTCTCTGAGACTGTCCCCAACTATGTGAACTCTTTGGGGACAGGGAGCAGATGTCACTCACTTTTGTGTCCTCGGTGCCCGGCAAAGAGCATAGATCATGGTCGGTGCCCAATGAATGCTTTTAGGCAAATAAATACACTTTGAAACCAATGAAACTCTCGAGCAATGTAAGTTATTGTTATCATCTTGTGACCAAAATGACAACTGTGGACATAAAGGCCAACTGAGTCTTTGGAATCCTAGAAATGAAAGCCAGATCGGCAGCCCAGAGAAGTGATGATGTTCCCATTTAGAGCCATTTTCCAATTGGCTTCTCTTTCACCACCATGTCAGGAATGAAGTTTGAAACATTCGTGAGGATTATCAGCCAGGCCTTGGCCCACAGAGGGCTCCCGGAAACGCAGACCCAACTTCCCGTTTCATGGAAAAGCCGAGTTCGTGTACGCATGAAAGAGGGAGCCCGAGGTCACCATGCTGGACCAGCCAGAGCGGGTGCAGGAAGATGGGTCTTCACAGCCTTTGAACTTCTGCATTTTATTTAAGGCTACATTTCTAAGAAGACAAAGGAAGAAAGCATGAAGCAGGAACTTGCTTGGGCTGATGTGTACACAGCTATAAACAATTCAAATCAGGCTACCCACACTTACTGTGTACTTTTGATGCGCCAGGTGCCCTCCTGGCACCTGGCTATGAATCAGGCCTGGTCCTTGCCCTCCACAAGCTTGCAGTCTAATGAGGATAAAGGAATAGAGGTACATAATGACCCAACAGGAAGGGTGCAGAAACGGGGCTTGTCTCAGATTCAGAGGGACACAGGAAAGGGTCCATTCACTTAGTCAAGGAGATGGGCTTTGCAGGATGAATAGGAGTTCGCCAAGCAGGCTAGAGGAAGCAAATCTCTTTGAGCCTCAGTTTTCTCATCTGCAAAACGGAGCCAATTACATCCCCTTCACAACGTGGACTAGATGATGAAATGAGATGCCTTGTGCCATGTGCCTATCACAAGGCTTGGGAGCTAGGGGATGGTGCTGCACTCTTGTCCCCTGGTCTGTCTGCCCATAGGAAGGATGGGGCCCTACCTGGGCCTCCTCCAGGGCATGACCTGTGCCCACATCCCGCCGGGTTCCTCTCACTTCTGATGACACAGCCCAGGTGGTTTTCTTGGTGGGAATTCCCCTTCTCTGGGCCTGAGGGGAAGTGGGGCCTGCAGCCTTGATCAGAAAAAGCACGCAACCAAGTCAGGGGCCTGGCTTCCCCTCCAGCGTGAGACTCATGGCTCAGTGGCACTGAGCATGCACCCTGCCCGCCTGTAGTGCCAAGTTAACCGCCAACGTTAGGGCTTCAGAACAAGTCCTCCTGACCCTCTTTCAGCCCCATCCCTGCAGCTCTGCCGTTGTGTGTGTGTCCTGTCTCCCACCCTGCTGGCCCCCAAACAGCTTGAGGATCCACACAAAAAAGTGTCCTATCGGTCTGCATCCCCAGGTCCTAGCGAGGGGCACATGCCCAAGCAGGGGTTGTTGATAAGGATTCAGTTCGTCTGTTTCCTCCGCTGCAAAGGAGTAGGGGGTTAGTGATCGACATGAGGCACAATCACAACGGATGTCATCATTGCCATCTCACTGCTACCCCCACCAGCTTCACTGTCTCATTGTTGCTGTTACTATCATGCCATCAGAGAGAGGGCCTAGTGTTAGGGTGGTTGGTGTGTGGGTTTTCACCAGGGCTTACTACCTTGCTGCAAACACTCGACCCTGTGAGGGAAAATGTCTGGGTTTGTTTCTACTGATCGTCGGATCGTCACGTGTTGTTTGTTTTTGCTTTATTGATGCACGGATGTTTTTGGACAATAGAGCGAAACTCTACACGTGGAGAATCTGCTCTGTTTGTCTTTTATGCAGTTAACACAACACAGCAATGTGCCTTGGAGCTTAGCAACCTGTAATAAAATTCAATTGATATTAAAAAAAAAAAGGGGAGTCCACACGTGGACCAATGATGAGGGTGGCCAGGACACCAGTGTCATGTGGGAGACAGAAGCCTGCCCAGCATCTCCCCTTTCCAGGGCCAGGAGCGAGTGCAGATAATCATACCAAACCCGGGGGGCTTTCAGGGCCAGTGGGGAGGGGCCTGGTGGGGCCAGACTTTGCACCTCCTTCCCAGGATGGCCTCTTAGATCTGTTTGACACGCTGAGTTCCCACGTAAGTTCATTTCAGCAAAGGCTCCAAGGCTACAACAGCAGTGGAGTGGCTACCACACCTCCTTTCACCCCTTCCATCTTCAAAACAGGCTGATGGGGTGGGGAAACTGAGGCTCAGGCAGGCAAAATAATGATAAAATTAATGGTGGACACGTGTCCAGCACCCCTATGCCTGGCCCCCTGCAAAGCACTTTATATTATACTGTTCACTCACTCAGGTCTCTGAGCCTGGGCTGTTCTGGAAACTAAAGCCCGTAGAAGTTCAACCTGTCCGTGGTCGCATGGCCAGGAAGTGCCGGAGCCTGGATTGGAACCTGAATCCACCTGATTCTCAGCCCTGACCCCAGTGACCTTCCTCTAGCACAGCGGTTCTCAACCTTCCTAATGCCGCGACCCCTTAATACAGTTCCTCATGTTGCAGTGACTCCCAACCATACAATTATTTTCGTTGCTACTCTATAACTGTAATTTTGCTACTGTTATGAATCATAATGTAAGTATCTTTTTGTTTTCCATGGTCTTAGACGACCCCTGTGAAAGGGTCGTTCAACCCCCAAAGGGGTCGCGACCCACAGGTTGAGAACCGCTGCTCTAGCATCCTTTTCCTGTAACCTTTATGTTGTTTGTCCCTGACCATGGGACATGTGCCTCTCTAGTGAGGAGCCGGCAAGGTGGGACCGGAGGCACAGACGCTGCTTGGCTCCCCAGCTTTGCTCCCTGGCGCCCCACCCCCATGAAGCCTTTATCCAACCCAGGACCTGCTGGTGACACTCCTCACATCCTCCTGGGTGAAGAATGTCACCTTGCTTCGTATCTGCCTCCTGTGTGGTTGGCTGGGGAGGGGGATCGCAGGAGTGGGGGTGAGGTTAACCTCATTGTTGTCTTATATGGTCATTTAAATCTCCCAGGGCTTCCTCCAAGGGCCAAAAATAATCCGAGACACAGCAGCTGTGTCCAACACACAGAGAGGACCCGGCCATCTGCTTTGGTTCAGAGCCCTGCGTCTGTCTGTCAGTCTCTCCCCCTCGCTCTCCCTCCATCCTCATTCCTGCTTCTGGCCATGACCCGCTTCTCGTATGCAGAGTATTTTTCCCTCTTTCACTCCTGCCCTGCGCCCGCCAGGTCGACAGTGCCTCCCGAGAGCCAGCCGGCCTCTGCCCCCATGGGTCTGTTCCAAGGTGTCATGCAGAAATACAACCGAAACAAGACCTCCCAGCTGGCGTAAGTGACCCCTGGCCCGCCCGCGAGACCCTCCAAGCTCACTGTCCCAGCTGGGGTTGGTGGGGGTAGGGGGTGGAAAGCAGGCCCCCAGCCCCCTGGAAGGGGAGCACTCTGGAGGGAACTCCAAGGCACACCCCTCCCAGGTGTGTCCCCCTGATACCCTGCTGCTCCTGCTAAGCTGGGCTTGGGGTCTTCAAGCAACTGCCAGCTAGGCTGGGATTGCCATGAACCCCTCAATGCCCCCAGGATGAGCCTTGTGTGCTAGGCTCCCATAGGGCTCCAAATCTGAGGACCCAGCTAAAAGGAGACTGGGGAACCGGCCCTAGGACCACAGAGGCCCAGAGGAGCTCAGAGCTGAAGGTGATGAGTCAGCCATACAGCCATGCGCTCTGTTTGTCTCAGTTTCTCCCTGTCATCACCACGGGGTGGGAGGTGGTTGTTTTGCTTCGTTGCCTTTATTTATTAAGTGCCAGGTGCTAAAATCCAGAAATAATCCCAGCTACAGGAGGGGTTCTGTTTGCCTGGCACCGGGGTACTGGGCTAGGTGTGTCCTGAGAAATAGCGCTGTGTGGTTAGTTTCTCTGCTCCCCAGGGTGACCCCCAGAAGCAGCTAAAAGCAAAAGAGGGGCCCCACGACGGGAACCCCTATTTCCTTGCTCAGATATGTTGCCGAGAGGGGAGGAGGCAATTAGCCGATGTTTTGCATCTCCTTCCCAGCCTTTTTCAAACTCTGCGGCCCCCACCCCCTTGGTGCTGCCAGTGAGGTTTGACTGTGTGGAGAAGGGAGACCCAGGTCCTGGTCTCAGCGCTGCTGCCGCTTCCTGTGTGACTGCCCGTGAGTCGCCGCGCCTCTCTGAGTCGCCCTTCTCTGTGAGAGAGGCTGGAGAGGACAGAGTGGCCTCCAGGATCCGGTGCAGCTCCTTAGTCTCTGATGGCTTGACACCGCAGCAGCCACCCCCACCTTCAGGGCGGGGACTTTGGCTGAGCTCATAGAGAAGCCGTCAGCTGGTGCTCCTGAGAGCTCCAGGGTCTTTGCACCACAGCTTGGAGGCGACCCAAGCTGGGCAGCGGGTCCTGAGAGTGTTCTCGTGACACTGCACACCCCCAAGGCCACGAGAACAGCCAGCCCACTTCCCTTTCGCTCCGGCTGGGGTCCCCCAGCAGACCTTCCAGGGAGACGGAACACATACCCCACGGGGGCTTTTCCTGATGCCAACAGGGGCTGCTCTGGCCGCTCATAAGAGGAATTCATCAAGGTGACAGTGATGGCGTTGATGGGGACTTCAGGGCTTATCTGGTCAGTTACCGGTCGTCCTTGGTGGGTCTGTAACTTAGCTGGCATCTGTGCTCTGACGCTATTAAAAACCAGAGAAGCTGAGTCAGGAGGAAATGCTGCTCACGCTGGAGGAAGCGGTGGGAGGGTAGGGGCTGGTCCTGTGGACCCTCAGGGCCTATCCTGGCCCCTGACAGTGGGGAGGGCCCTGTCTCACTTCTCCATCTGGGAGAGTGTCCCCCAGGAGTGGACCTGGGAGTCAGCAGTCGTGGTCCTCGCTGACTCTCCAAGGACGGGAGGAAGGGAGACCAGCGAACACATGAATGAATAAACAAATGAAGTGGCTTTGAAGAGTCAAGCAAAGAAGTTATCATTTGTATCAGGCTTAAATTCTTCTTGACATTCAGAAGTCTTAAGTTACAAAGCCTTCAGATTTATAAATCCTTCAAGGATTTAAGTCTTTCAGCAGCTAAAAGTTGGTGTGACATTAAATGCAGCCACTGAAAACTTCAGGACAGAAGGGTCCTCTAATTCTCTTTCAGCCACCAAAACACTATCTAAAAGGCACCCTTGGTTTCCATCTGTGGGAGTAAAGGAGCTTGCCATGTTTCAGCCTGTTTTTTAGCAGATTTCCCCTACTTGGTGCCTGACTTGGAGATTAAAGGTAGAAATGCCACAGGATGCTCACAAGGGCAGGTAAAAGCTGGCAAGGCTTGATCCAGACCCCCCCACACTTACCTATAGGCCGGTATGACCTCCAAACGCTCAAGGGAGGCCACTGCACAGAATGTTTTGAACAAGATATAAATAGAATTCCCAAAGAAACAAGAAGAACTCCGATAGGGAAGAGGCTATCTTTTTGGAAATGGAAGGGATGAAGGAGTGAAATACTCGTTGGTGTTCCTAGGTTCTGAATGTCTGCCTGCCTGCCTTCCTTCCTTCCTTCCTTCCTTCCTTCCTTCCTTCCTTCTTTCCTTCCTTCTTTCCTCCCTTCCTTCCTTTCTTCCCTCCCACCCTTCCTCCCTCACTCTCTCTCTCTCTCTCACAGCAAATATTTATTGAGCACCTATTATGGACCAGCCACTGAGCTGGGCCCTGGGAATTAAATCATGAGGGATAAAAGAAAGACACTGTCCCTGTTTTCTTGGAGCTCATAGTCCAGTGGGGGAGACAAACAGTGACCAGATAATTATTCAAAGACATACAAAGTCTGGTGATTATATGAGGGCTTATGACTGGAGGCAGGAAGAGGCTGACCTGGGCAGCCAGGCTGGGGAAGCTGTGATGGAGTTGAGGGCTGGAGAGGCCAAGGTCAGGGCCGAGGTCAGAGTCCAGTTCCCAGGGCATACCCATGTGGGTTAGGGAAGATTATTCTCCTTATTGCGGAGGACATTGGCGGCAAAGGGGTTGAGCACCTGTCCAGACCAGCAGGGCGGAGTGATCCCGCAGCTGGCGCTGCTCCTGGCCACCCGCAGCCCCTGCTTCCCCTCTGGGAGGCCCTGCCTCTGTCCTGCCTGTGTCCTGAGGAGTGACCCACTCCTTGCTTTCACAGGCCCATGGACCCTGTGCTAAAGGTCATCAAGGAAGACGATGAAGAGGCCTTGAAGGCTATGATCAAGGCGGGGAAGAACCTCACAGAGCCCAACAAGGACGGCTGGCTGCCGCTGCACGAGGCGGCCTACTACGGCCAGCTGAGCTGCCTGAAGGCCCTGCAGCGAGGTGAGGCGCCGATGTGGGTGCAGCCAGAGGTGGGAGCGGGTCTCAAGGGCACGGCCTCCTTGCTTCTGGAGCTTCATGGTCTTTGCCCAGCACAAGCTAGGTGAGGGGGCAAGGCAAGGTCATCCATCACCTTCATTGCAGAGTTAAAGTCATCAAGTTGGGAGCGGCAGAAATGAGTTGTTTTCCCCGCTCCCAACAACCTGCCCCCCACGCCCGCTCCCCGCCCCAACCTCCCCAGGTTTCTCAGGACAAGGGAGACTAATTCCTAGAAAAAGAAGGAGAGAGGGCTGACTTTTGGCAGAGCTACTGCCAGCTTATTCTAGAATGTTCCAGGGGCTGATTTGGTGTGGAAAATACTGCAGCTGTGCCTGTGCCCGCCAAGGCCGTCTCCCACAGCTGTGGGAGCCTCGGCAAATCACACCTGCTCTCTGAGCCTCGGCTTCCCCCCAAGCCAGGTGTGGAAAGGTCACACCTGCAGGGAGCACGAACCCGAGACAGCCCACCACACTCCACGGCAGAAATAGCTGTATGAGACTGAGCTGCTGGCAGTGGCTGGAAGGGAGTGTAAGGAAAGGACAGGGTCATCCAGAGGAGGGGCTCAACCAGGGAAGGCTTCCCAGAGGAGGTGGCATTAATAGGACCAGGAAGCTGAAACAGCACTGTAAACGGTACTGAGTCCAGGGCCAAGATGATGAAGGCAGTCTTGGTAAATTTAGGCAGATGCCACACAAGTCTGTCCTCAGAATTTGGAGGAAATCATGGCCCTTCTATGCTGGGGAAGAGGCAGGTATCTTCCTCCTTCATGAATGTCCCCATCTGTCCTCCCCAGCATATCCAGCAACCATCGACCAGCGCACCCTGCAGGAGGAAACGGCCCTTTACCTGGCTACATGCAGGGGACACCTGGACTGTCTCCAATCCCTGCTCCAGGCTGGGGCTGAGCCCGACATCTCCAACAAGTCACGAGAGACACCACTCTACAAAGGTGAGCCCCCCTGGCGGAAGGGTTCCAAAAGCTAGGTGGGCAATTGGGAGCATTGCTCCTGAGATGCATAACCCCACTCTCACCCCCACCCCACCAAGGAGTCTACTTTGAAGGGGCGCCCTCACTCAGATGTATCGCTTAGGTAATTGAATCATTCATTTGTGCACGTATTCAGTCCACATTTCCCAAGTCCTCCCATGGGCCGAGCACAGTGCAGAGCACTGAGGGCTCAGAGATGAAAAGATACAGTCCATGCCCAAGTGCTCTCCCAGTCAAGTGGGCATTGACTCACAGAGACAACAGTCAGCTAAGGGCAATGAAGAGCTTGACTCAAGGTACCTGGGGGCATGTGGAAGGGGCCCTGACATGGGAGAAGAGTACCCACAGGAGGGGCTGCCTGAGCTGAGCCCGAACAGGAGGGATTTACCAGCTAGATAAGCAGGGGCACGGCATAAGCTAAAGCAAAATGGTATGAGAGAGTTTGGACCTCTGAGATGTTTAATAGAACTAAAAACTCCTGACTGACTCCATACAATATCCAAGGACGCTGGCTACCTAGCAAGTGCCAAGAGTAAAAAAATCTGAATAAACACAACAGCTGGCATTTATTGAGCGCTTACTATATGCCAGGCACTGTCTTTTTTTCTTTTTTTTTTTTTTTAGCTGAGCCATCTTGCCACCTGTTGGCAGCTCAGCAGCAACTCAGCTCAGGCCGGGAATCGAACCGCTGCTGCTCAGAGCTCGCACTCTTGCGTGAGCTCTTAACCAACTGAGCCACCTGGCCGGCCTGAGGAGGGGTTTTGAGCAGGAATATGACACTGCCCTTCTCCTTCTCTTCTGGCCTTGGCAATGTGGAAGACTGAAGCCAACAACACTGGGAAGGGGGACGAGTTTGGGGCATCCTGGAACATTCTAGAGGATAGAGACTCTGGACCCAGCGACCTGGGTTTGAATCCCAGTTCTGCCATTTACTATCTGTGTGACCTTGGGCAAGTCACTTAACCTCTCTGTGCCCCATTTTTCATCATCCATGAAAGGGGATAATAACACCGCATCCTTTAAGGATGGCTGGGAGAACTAAACTAGTTAATCATGTAAAGTGATTAGAACAGTGCCTGGCACATAACCAGTGCTACACACACATCATCAAATATTAGTATGACTATTATTAGTCATAGTAGTATGACTATTGCTCCTATTAGTATGATTATTACTTTTAGTTGTATATACTAGGTTTAATGCAGACACTAAAACTTAATCCAGACCCAATGGATATTTGTTGAATGAATGGCTGATGAGTGCATGAGTGAATGGACAAATGAACGAGTGAAGTCTTGGCTGACCGGGTCCTGCCAGGGACCCTGCTGACCATCTTGCTTCTGCCTGGGCACAGCTTGCGAGCGCAAGAACGTGGATGCAGTGAGGATCCTCGTGCAGTACCATGCAGACACCAACCATCGCTGCAACCGAGGCTGGACGGCTCTGCACGAGTCTGTTTCTCGCAATGACCTGGAGGTCATGGAGATCCTGGTGAGCGGAGGCGCCAAGGTGGAATCCAAGAATGCCTACGGCATCACCCCCTTGTTTGTGGCTGCCCAGAGTGGGCAGCTGGAGGCGCTGAGATTCCTGGCCAAGCACGGTGAGTGCTAAGGGCCCCTTGGTCATGGAGTCCCCAAGGGCCACAGCTGGGAAAGGTCTCAGAGATCAGCTCTAAGGGAAGGCAAGTTTAGGCATCATCTTGTAGGTATACTCTGGTTGTGTGGTAGGGTCTTCTTGGAGTGTTGTGTTAAGAAGGATTCTGAAGCTCTGTCTAGGCTCTGCAGGAAATGTGTTGAGATCCACTAGTGATGCCTGCGATTAGTGACAAACTTGGGGGAGAGTGGAACACATGCCACGTATGTGTCATCTCTAATCTAGCCCAACATCCTTGTTTTACAAATGAGGAATCTGAGGCCCAGAAAGGGGAAGTGAGTTCTCTACAGCTACATAGCAAATTAATGCTAGCACTAGCCAGGCTCTTGGTCTCCTGACACCCCAACCACTTCTCTTTCCATGGCGTCACATTTCAGGGCCGGAAGGAACCTCAGACAACTCGAGAGCACCTTCCCATTTTATAGTGGATGAAACCAAGGACCAGGGTGGGAAAGTGGTTTGTCCAAGATCACACAGCCAATTAGTGACAGAGCTAAAATTTGAACCCAGGGCATTGTACTCTTTGCCTGTGAAAAATCTTTGTTCACTTAAAGGAACAAAATAAAATAATATTGTCTGCATTATGACGTCCCAGTAGCAAAAGATCCCGAGACGATGGCAGACATTCTTTTGGTTAAAGGGCATTATATTCTGATCTCCCCCGAGATCACCTTTGATTTTTCTTTTTCTGTCTCCTTGGGAAGTAACCCCCCTTCTCTAGCCACAGGTAAGCCAAGCCCTGGGGCAGAACTGGAATAATTTGTTGAGGACCTGCTGTGTGCCACACTGTGCTACGTGTGAACACAGATTAGGCCAATGGGGTTTTCTCCACAGCCATATGAGGTAGGTAGTGTCCTCACCACGTTGTGTAGATGAGGAGACTGAGGCCCAGAGGTTAAATGATTGGTCATAGCAAGAGCCTGGATTCTGACCGCGTCCATCTGACCCCAAACTGCACACTCTTTGCACTCCGCCACACCACCCAGGCCTCCAGAATGGCCATCGTAGGTTTACTCAGATAAGTGTCCACTTACTCAGCATGCGCCTGAGCAGTGAGGGCAACAGACCCAAGGCACTTCCTTGCAGCCAAGGACGAACGTGGACTGACCAGCTTGAGAACAAAGGGGCACAGGCAGGACCCTGGGAGCCCAGGCCAGGAGGCTGGGCGAAGGGCAGGGTGCTCAGCGGGTGGGGAACCGGCTAACGGAACATCTGCCGAGCTCTCCTGCTGACACTCTGAGTCAGGGTCGGTTCCCTTTGTGGGCTGAGTCCATTTTCAAATCCAAATATTTTTCTTGTGTGAGCGGGTGGCTTTGCTGGCGAGGTGCAGGCTTCCAGAGTGCCTGACTTCGAGAGCTCCTGGGGTTAGGGCTGCTGGCTGACTCTCCCTCAGGAGGGCAAAAGCAGCCTCTGTGCCCAGGGTCCCTCTGCCCTGGAAAACTGCCATTTGCTGAGCACCTCCTCTGGGCCAGGCACCGTGCAGGAACTCCGTTATTTTAGTCCATTCCGGCGGCTATCACAGGACACCACAGGCTGAGTGGCTCAGGGACAGCTTATGTCTCACTGTTCTGGAGGCTGGAAGTCCAAGGTCAAGGTGCCAGCAGATTTGACGTCTGGTGAGGCCCCATTTCCTGGTTCATAGACAGCCATCTTCTCACTGTGTCCTCACATGTTGGAAAAGTGAGAGACTCTCTGGGGTCCCGTTTATAAAACCACAAATCCCATTCATGAGGGCTCCACCCTCCTGACCCAATCACCTCCCAAAAAGCTCCACCTCCTAACACCATCACATTGGGGTTTTGGTTTCAACCTATGCACTTGGGGGGAGGGGGGACACAAACATTCAGTCCATAGCAGATATTTACTTATTACTTGTCACAGTGACTCCAATTGGTAGGTACTATTATTCCTGATCCACAGATGAGAAAATGAGACGCCTAAGGTCTGCCTGAGGCCACAGAGGTTACAAGCCATGAAACAGAAACTTCGCCTGGTCCTTGTCTGTCACAAAAGCCTGTGTTCATCCCACTAGACCAGAAATCAGTCAACAGAAATTAAAAATTAGCACAAAGACTGAGATAAGCAGAATGCCCAGAGAGAGGGGAGCTGTGGTTGACAGGTGATTTTGATTTCAGCCTTTACTGACCTTCCACTGCTGTCTCAGTTCTATTTGCTTCCAGCATAAGGAGGGACTGGTGAACAGGCTGCAGCTAGTTTTGCAGACAAACCTGAGTGCACATCAGGTTTCTCCATCACCACTAGGAGATGAAGAAGGTATAGGAGATTGGGCTGAAGGGAGACTGTCACATGATTCCTCCTCCTATCAGCATGGTGTAGTGGTTTCTTCAGGGGAGACAGAAAGTGATTCTTTTCTTATTTCTGGAAATGGAAGGCAAAGAAGTACAAATCTCAATTAATAAACTCATTGGGGTTTTTCTTTATTAGGAGGCTCTGTACTCTCTAAGAGCTGTGAGGGCCTTCTTCAGTGCAGGGCCTGAATCCTTTTTCATGGAGTCATGGAGTTAGGGTTAAGAGTGTGGCCTCTGCCCTCAGACCATCTGCCTTAGCCTCTGCCATCAGACCCTTTGGGTTCAAATTTTGGCTCTTCGCTTATGAGCTGGGTGATCTGGGGCAATTGCATAGGCTTTCTGTGCTTCCGTGTCCTTGTTTGTAATGCAGAGCTAAGAGCAGAACTGATCGCACAGGGTTATGCTGTGGATTCTTAGAGGTAGCACAGGTAAAGTACGGGGCCTGACTCGTAGTAAGTGCTCAGTGAATGCCAGCGTCATCATGGCAGCTTTTTGCCTCTAGGCGGCCTCTGCTCAGACTGGCAGGCCAGGGTCTCAGTATTGCAGAAGCAAGCTGGGGGTCCTCCCAGTTGGACCCCTCCTTTCCAAGGGTCACTGCCAAATGATCCCGTGTGTCATGGTGGTTGGCACAGTCCGACGTGGATATTACATCGGGGACAGTGACCGCCCTGATCACTCACTGACCTGCCTCTCCTTCACCAGGCGCTGATATCAACACGCAGGCCAGCGACAGCGCCTCGGCCCTCTACGAGGCCTGCAAGAACGAGCACGAGCTGGTGGTGGAGTTTCTGCTGTCGCAGGGCGCCGACGCCAACAAAGCCAACAAGGACGGCATGCTCCCGCTGCACGTGGCCTCCAAGAAGGGTAACTACAGGTCAGCCCAGGCCCTGCACCACCACCCAGCCCACCCCGGGGGGCTCCAGCTGTCCTGCCCACAGGATTAGGAAGGCCCAGGCCAGAGAGGAGGGCACCTCTGGGGAAAACAGGAAAAGCCCTCAGCAGTTAGCAAGCGAGGGTGAATGCCCTCAGTAATGGCAACAATAATAACAGAGAAAACCTATGCAGCACTTACCAGCACTTTCTATTATTAACTGGTTCAATGCTTTGGAAACTCTACTTTGATTGAATCTACAGAGGTAGATACTATTATCTTTGTTTTTCAAATGAGGGAGCTAAGACACAGAGAGGCTGAGTGACTTGCCCAAGGTCACACAGCTCGTGGATGGCAGGAGCTCACCTACTCCAAATGTCACATCTACAGGAGTTCCACTCAGGGCACCAGATATGAGTCTGGACTAATGGATATTTCTGGTGGGGATGCAAAGATAACCTCTCAGGCAATCAGCAAGCATGCAAGGGGTACCCACAATAACACAAATAATACCAATGATAATAGCCAGACTTTACTGAGCAGTTACTCTGCCTGGGTACTTTGAGTGAGATGAGAGAAGCTGACGTTCTCAGGGAGTGATCTGGTGGGAGGGTTATGCACATGTGTGTGTACACACACACACACACACACACACACACATTTATGACATAATGAAAGAGCATGAAGAACTAAGCTCCGTGGTGGTCCTAGAGGAGAGGCCGGAGTGGGCTGGAAGCAGACGTATGCTACAGCAGCCCACCCCAGCTCACGGGAGCCAATATGTTTGTTCATGCTGGTGGCCTAAAACGGCCACGGGGAGAATATTTACACCACAGGAAATGGCGAATGCTACAAATCAGGGCCTCCCCCCACCCCACCCCGAGCCAGCTTTAAACATCCACCAGCACCACCAGTAGCTGGCGGGCGGGGAAGACTTGCCCAAGAGGTGGAACCCCACCTGCCTGGGATGGAGGCACAGGACCTGGTAATTTCCATCCACCAGTGTCTCCACACTTTGACCGTTCACAGACTTTCTTCCTGATTTGAGACACCTATACTCTCATTGCTTAGCATTTTCCTTTCAAGGCATTTTTACCTAAAATGAATTTGTTTTCAGAAGGAAACATTTATCGCACTATTAAATGGTTAAAATTACCAAGTTATAATTAATAAAAAACCTTTTCACCCAAGATCCTACCTTGTGTACCCCAGATGACACACTTTGGGAAACACAGCCCTGTCCTCAGCAGGGAGAAACAGATGGCTACACGTTGTGGGTGCTGGCTGTCTTCTCGAAGGCAGAAGGAAAGGAGGGTGAAAGTGACATTCCAGAGAATGAAGCAGAGACGCTAAGAGCCTCAGGCCCTGCTCTGCAGGCAGGCGACACTGGTGACCAACCAATGCTTCCAGCCTAGTGGTGGCCCTCGCGCCCCACATCTGACATGTCGCAGGGGAGAACCTGCCTTCTTTGGACCACACAGTAGACTGTGAGGCAGACAGATCTGGATTTGAATTCCTGCTGAGGCCATGGGGCATGTTGCTTAACCTTTCTGAGCCTCACTTTCCTCTTCTACAAAATGGGAGGTAGTCACAGCTGACTCATGGGTTGTTGTGGGGACTAGTGAGAGGGGCATGCAGGGATATGCCATGGCAATCAGCACCCAGCAGTGTGTCTGCCACGAGGAGGTGCTCAGAGGGTCTGCACTCCCTCCCTCTGTGCAGACAGAGTGCATTCCGTCATCTCTCAGTTTTGCCAGTGGAGGGAAGAAAACAAGTCAGGCAGTGGTGATGGGTGAGACGGCATCTTCCCTTCAGCTCCAGGAAGATCCAGCATCAGTCAACGAACATGGTGTATCTGGAGCCTGACCCTAGAGAGACACAAAGAGTGAAAGAGAGGGAAGGGGCTGCCCCTTAGAAATCTCCTGGCCCAGTGGCTTCCCATACTTACCTGTACAGCATAGCCACTCTGAGCTTTTTTTTTTTTTAAGATTTTGTTGGGGAATTGGGGAAGGGGAACAGCCAAGTTGTTGTCCTTCAGTCTTAGTTGTGGAGGGCGCAGTTAGCTCAGCTCCAAGTCCAGTTGCCATCTGGCTGCCCGTCAGTAGCTCGCAGCCGCTCAGCTCAAGGTACCGTGTTCAATCTTAGTTGCCGGTGGGTGTAGCCCACCATCCCATGGGGGAGTCGAACCGGTAACCTGGTTGCTAAGAGCACACGCTCTATCCACTGAGCCATCCTGCCATCTGTTGGCAGCTCAGTAGCAGCTCAGCTTGGGCGCAGCTCAGTGGCCCATGCGGGAATCGAACCGGCGACCCTGTTGCTCAGAGCTTGCACTCTTAGCCAACTGATCTACTCGGCTGGCCCCTCTGAGCTATACTTTTTAAATGACACATCCCAGAACCACTGAACTAAAATCTTCAAAAGAGTAGGAACCCAAATTCTATCTTTGAAAAGATCCCCAACCAGATACAGCCCAGCCATACTTTCAGGGGGATCATTGATCTAATCCAGCCTCTGATTTGCAGAGGAGGGAACTGAGGCCAGTGGTGGGAAATGGTTTGGCAGAGAGTGGCAGAGCTGGGCTTGTCCTTGGCATCCTTCAGTCCCACCCAGTAGACCCAGGTGTCTGGCCCCAGCTGGAGGGGAGTTTGAAGGCGCACTGGGGGTGCCTAAGGATGACCAGGGAGCAAGGCTGGTCCTCCCTGGAACCACCTCGATGAGTGGTTTACATTGCCCAGAGTTTTCTGCTGTGGATTCATGCTGACTCCCAAGATGGTTTCCCTGCTCGGTCCTTATCCATTCCCAGGCCCCATTTCCTTCTGACCCTCAAGGCTGAGAGGGGCTAGGCCACTTTTTGAGGGCTGTTCAACAAAGGGTTAAAGCCGGGTTCCCAGCAGCTTCTGCCACCTGGCAGCGCCCATGGCCAGGCCAGCCCTTGACTCACTCCTTGGGCATGTGGCCTCTAATGGCCCTCTCCACGCTGACCTCCCATAGGCTGCTTGGGGAGTTGATGTAACATTCCATAGGCGTTCTACACTCGGCCACCTGCCCAAACACCTTGCCCATCCGTAGCATGGAAAGGTGTGCCCAGCAGCTGGTCTCAATGTCCGCCAGTTGGTGCCATCTCTTCAGGCATTTAACTGGAGGGTGTGACCTACGGACATGGCTGAGAAAGAGCCCCAAGATCCCAAAGTCTCAGTCAATTCCAAGGCACACTTTTGCCTATTTTCATTTCCAGGTTAGCAAAGGGAACTTATGAGATTAAAGCTCAACACCAAAGATAGATTTATGAAGAAACTGTTTGTGTTAGACAGGAGCAGATGCCCCAGAATTCCTTAGCTGAATTTAGAATAACATCGAAACCAGTGGTTCTCAACCCTGGCTACACAATGAAAGCCCTGGAGGCCCTAAAATCCAGATACTTGGGTCTCACTCACCCTCAGGGATGCTGATGTCAGCAGTCTGAGTTTCCAGCTGGAGGTGCAGGGTCCCTAAAAGCCACCCAGGTGGCTTCACTGTGCAGCCCAGTGGAGAACCAGTGTGTTAGAGTCTATTTTGCGGCTGACACATAACACAGACTTGCATTTTGGGGCTCGCTTCTGACCCCCTTGTTCTTAAATATTCTTTCTCTTTTCCTTCTAATTTGTACTACCTTTGCAAGCCACTTAAAACTCTTTCTGGAAAAAAAAAGGCAGAATAAAGAATATTAAATACATTGAATTAAAACACAGCTTATAAAGTATGTTCCCAAGCAAGTTAGTATCTCTATTAATTAAAAGGGACACTGAGGCTCAGAGCTCAAAGCCTCAGAAAATACGAGGGGAGATCCTGGGTGCAGGACCCTCTCCCCACCTCCAGCCCCTGCAGGAGGCTGGTTGGCTGTGTCTTCTGGGGGAATGATAAGGGTTTGCATCCATGTTTCTCAAGGCATGATGTGCAGATCACCTACAGCAGACTCCCAGCCACCTTCCCAACCTGCTGAATCAGAATCTGGATAGCAGGGCCCAGGAATCCGCATTTTCAGTGATTCCCTGAGCGATTCCGAGTTGCACTGCGATTGAGAACTGGCAGTTTGCATCCTCAGCAAGCTCCACTCTGTGCCTGAAGACCCAGAGACAGCTGGACACGCTCGTTTAGTGCAGTAGTCTGCATGGAGCTGTGTGTGTCTGCCCTTCCTCCTTCACAGAGGAAGTGGTCCCCATTTCAGCTCCCAGCATCTCCTAGAAAAGCTTCAGACTTGCCCCCAGAAGGATCCCTCCTGGGCAGGAGGCCCTCTGTGCCCTTGGGAACCCCCTCAGGCAGATGTTCCATTGGTAGACCTTGGCTGGCTCCAGCATGAGCATCACAAAGGCTCAGAGAAGAGGTGATTCCCCCCCAACACACACACACGCACACGCACACGCACACACATGGGTTGACACAGAGCAGCTCAGTGGTATTGGCAGAGGAGCTGTCTGTGGGCGACTGGTTCCGTTGTGAAAGTCAAGTCCACAGTCAAATTTACACTGAATGCTGACAAAGGTCACACCACTGTGACCCGGTGACCCAGAACGCCTCCACGTTTGGAGTAGCAGGGCAGTGTGCTACAATCACCCTGGAGGTCTTCAAGTTTCAGCTTGAATCAACAGCCATCATTTATTGAGTGCCTACTATGTGCCAATCAGCTTAATGTGTAAGATCTCATTTTATCCTCAAAAGCAGGCACAGTGAAAGTATTATTCCATTGTGTTTTGTAACACAGGCAGCCTTGTTACAAAGAGTAAATGAGATAAAAGTATTTAGTTCATAGGATCAGTTTCAGGATTAAATGAGCTAACTGGGTAAAGCACTTCGAATGGTGCCTGGAACACAGCAAGTGCTCAGCTATATTATGGCAATTATTATTTAGGAAGGGAAAGTGCTCACAACAACTCATAGGGGCTCAATTAAAGGTAGCTGTCATCCTCATCCTCATCTTCATCATTATTATTATGACTAATTACCCTTCTATTATAGATGTGGGGCTCAGAGAGTTTAAGTGACATGCCTGAGATGGCCCAGCATGGAGAGGCAAAGCTGATGGTGTAACCCAGGTCTTCTGCCCCAGGTGGGACCTCCACACTGCTAGCCTGCTTGGGTTCAAAACTCTGCTCTGTTCCCTGCCCCTTGGCTGGGGTTCAGGTGGGAGAGGTGGCATGGCAGGGCTGCAGCCTTGAAGAAACTAGAATCTGGGCAAGAGCCAGGGCCTGGAGCAAAGAAAGAGAATGGGGTTCAGTTACTGGTGGCTCCCAAGATCAAGGCAGGGGCCCAGTTATTGGGACTGGAGTCCAAGGTCACCTGCTGAGCTGCTGCTCTGAGCCTCCTTGGAACAGCCCTGACCTGGGTTTGCTCTGGTCTCAGGGCCTGAGCTGGTGTAGCCCCAACACTGGGGAAAGGGGGAGGGGCAGGCAACTGGCCTCTTAGACCTGAGGGTTCTATCAGGCAATGGGCACCTTTGTTCTTCATAAAGTACACTTTGAGCAATAGTGCTCTAGTCCCAGGACCTTCCCGTGGGAGAAGTGGAAAGGCCCCAGCCTGTCCTCCATCCCACAAAATGGGTTTGGGGAGAGAGGTAATGAGACGCAGTGAGGCCACCAACACGGCCATTCCTTAGTGGTAGAGGACTGGGGCATTCTGGAAAGGCCAGGTCCTGGGCATGGTAGACACCTACATTCTGGCCTGGCTTTGCCATTCACCTCTTGTTCAACCTCATCCACAAACGGGCCTCAGTTTTACCCTCTATGAAGGGGGAGGGCTGGACACACTGATCTCCAGACCCCGTCCATTACAAATTTACGTTCAGATTGGCAAAGTCCTACAGAAGCGTATGACAGAAAGATGAATTTACTGCATTATTAAGATGATGCTTTCGGGACTCTGGGCAGCATCCAGTCATGTTCCCAGCTTTCTGCCACTCCTCCTCAGTTCAGCAGGGGGTTGCTGGAGACCAGCTGTGACCTGCCAGAGATACCAGCCCCATCTGGCCAGCAGCCCCGGGCAGTCCCTCTCGATGTTCTTTCCCGAGTTTGGGCAGGTTACGGCTGTTAGCGAGCATTTGTTGCAAATGGCCTCCGTCCAGGGTGAGGCCCCAGCTCTGCCTTTGACCAGCACCTCTACAGAGCGAGGTCAGGCCTCCTGTGCCTGCACAAATAAAAATTAGGAGGCAATTAGCCCCCCTGGGTGTGTGAATTTCCTTTTGAGGTTTTAGAGGCAGATTTTAGACAAACACAGCGTTACTAACAATAATAACACTTTCCAACTGAGATCCTAGCAGGAGGTCGCTGGCATCAGATTTCCAGGAAGTGGGGAAGTCACCGTGCCAGGAGGCAAAGAGGCGTGGGAACAGGCCTGGTGGCACCCGCTCGCCCTGCCATGGCCACCTCCTTGGAGCCCACATGGGGCAGTGAGGGCACCTGTCATCAGGGATTAGACAGATTAGGGTCTGGAATCACAACAGGAGCTTGTTCCTGCAGGTGGCAAGGGTCTAGAGGAAGAGAACAAAGACCAGGGGTCAAGAGTCCTGGGGTCCAGCCCCCAGAACTGCTTAGAAACTTTGATTAGTCTCTTTATTTCTCTGAGCCACATCGGTTAAAAGGTAGGCCACGGGCCGGCTCTGGCTACCCCACAGGGCTGCAGGGAAGGCAAAGGGGGCAGGTAAGTTAATGCATCATGAAGAATGCCACATCCTGACATATCGGCTGTCACCCTGACTGCTACACAAGAAGTGGGGAAGTGGTTACGAGTATGGCCGTCACTCTAGGAGGAATCAGACTCTCTGGGTTCAAATCCTGGCTCCATTACTTACTGCCTGTGTGTCCTTGGGCAAGTCATATACCCTCTCTGGGCTTCTGCTTCCTCATCTGTAAATGAGGCTAATACTAGTACCACCTCATAGGACTATTGGGAGGGTATAACAGATTGGTGTAGGTTAAGTGCTGTGGACAGTGCCTGATTCGGAAGGAGAGAGCAAAGCCAGGGATCTCCAGCCTCAGCAAGGGCTGATCAACCCACTCCAGGCCACAGGCAGGGCAGAGAGCCCAGGAGAAGCTAGAGTCAGACTTCAAGGTAAGAGGCGTTGAGACTTAAAGGACAGGGGAGGTGACTCTTGGTCACCGAGCTTCACCTCTTACTGGCTATATGACTTTGGGGAGGTAATTAGAGCTCTCTGTGCCTCAGTTTCCTTATCTGTGAAGTAGGGATAGCAGCAGACTCACCCTCCCCAAAGTGGTAATTGTGAGAATGGCTGGCTACTCGGCGGCCCCTGCTGGTGGGCTCGTGCATCCCTAGCAACCCTACACGGTAGCTGTGCGTGGCCGAGCCTGGCCCCTCAGCGCCCCCTGCTGGCTGGGTTGCCCCCAACGTGCCGGCCGCCCCGTGACCCACGCATGCCTGCCCCGCCCTCAGGATCGTGCAGATGCTGCTGCCGGTGACCAGCCGCACGCGCGTGCGCCGGAGCGGCATCAGCCCGCTGCACCTAGCGGCCGAGCGCAACAACGACGCGGTGCTCGAGACGCTGCTGGGCGCGCGCTTCGACGTGAACGCGCCGCTGGCGCCCGAGCGCGCGCGCCTCTACGAGGACCGCCGCAGCTCCGCGCTCTACTTCGCGGTGGTCAACAACAACGTGTATGCCACCGAGCTGCTGCTGCTGGCCGGCGCCGACCCTAACCGCGACGTCATCAACCCCCTGCTCGTGGCCATCCGCCACGGCTGCCTGCGCACCATGCAGCTGCTGCTAGACCACGGCGCCAACATCGACGCCTACATCGCCACACACCCGACCGCCTTCCCCGCCACGATCATGTTCGCCATGAAGTACCTGTCGCTGCTCAAGTTCCTCATGGACCTCGGCTGCAACGGCGAGTCCTGCTTCTCGTGCCAGTACGGCAACGGCCCACACCCGCCCGCCCCGCCACCCTCTAACAGGTTCAACGACGTGCCCGCTGGCGACAAGGCGCCCAGCGTGGTCCAGGTAGGGGAGCGCAACTGGGGGAGTATGGCCAGGGCCAGCGCGCTTTGAAGGCGGTGTGAACTAGTGGTTCACTCACTTTGGAGGCAGCGTGGTGTGCGCTTTGGAGGCATGGTGGTTAATAAGCCTCCGAGACACTGTGGACTGGTCGTTAATGCGCTTTGGAGGGAGTGTAGGCTAGTAGTTAGCACACTTTGGAGGCCGCGGAACCCGGAGGCTAGCATGCTTTGGAGGGAGCAGAAAACTTACTGGTTCACACCAACAATTAAATCCTTGTTTTGGTTCGCCGTCTTGGGGAATTTAAGGAAGGAAGAGTGGAGCAGGGGACTGGTGGGGAACTCTGCAAAACTGGGGGGTTCTCACCCTCAGCAAACCTGCGCCAGGCATGTGATGTGGGATGACCGGGATCAAGAGGGAGGTGAGAGCAGGCTGGTCAGGTGAGGGGTAGAAAATTAGAGACCCAGAGGCAGGACCTGTCCATGGTGATGACTTAAAAAGTCAAAACTTAAAATGAAAAGGAAGTTAAACACACCCTCCTCTTTGAGATAACTATAATGGCTAATGGCCATCAGTTATGGGCCACCTACTGTGTACAAAGAAGTTTATGTTCATATTACCTTCATCTCATAAACCCTTGAAGATGGTGTCATATACCCATTTTCTAGACAAGGAAGTCGAGGCTTAGAGAGGCGATGTGACTGGCCCAAGTTGCCCACCTCCCACTTTTGGCAGCCGAAGCCTGTGTTGATGAGAGATGGGAACTGGATCCTAGCCTGGGTGTGCCCAGTGTCTGTCCTTGGACATGTCCCCTGCCCTCTCCAGCCTTAGGTTCCTATCTGTAGATTGAGCTTGCGAAGTGGGTGCCCTTGGTCCTGGGTGTCCCAGCACTGGTGTCTGCTCTCTTCCAGTTCTGTGAGATCCTGTCTGCCCCCGAGGTGAGCCGCTGGGCAGGGCCCATCATCGACATCCTTCTGGACTATGTGGGCAACGTGCAGCTCTGCTCACGCCTGAAAGAGCACATCGACAGCTTTGAGGACTGGGCCGTCATCAGGGAGAAGGCAGGTAGGGGCTGTCGCTGCTGCTGCTGGACGGTCGCCCTACCTGACTCAGGCCCAGGACTTGGACAGTGTGACTGTTACTAACATTTGATGGGCATCTACTCCATGCCAGCTCTGTGCTGTGTGTCATGTGCAGTGTCTCCACAACTCTTGGTTTTGTAAATAAGGAGGCTGGCCCTCAGAGAGACATGTCACCTGGGCCAAGGTCTCACCGCTAGTTAGTGGTAGAACTGGGATTTAAACCCAGGTTTGACCAACTCAAGCCCCTCCACAAAGTCTTTGCAGGACATTTTAAACAGTTCCAGCTCCCTGAGGGGATGGGGACATTTGGAGTAAGTTGCCTGTGTTTGTGGGTCACTGAGAGGCAGTGCGTTGAGGGAGAGGAGAGAGGTGTCTCAAACTATAAAGTGCGTACAAAACACACGGACACCTTGTTAAAAATGCAGGTGCTGACTCAGCAGATCTGGGCAGGGCCTGAGAGTCTGCATTTCAGCGTGCTTCCCAGGTGGTGCCCGTGCTGCTGGTCCACGGACCACAGCTGGAGCAGCACTGATCTAGGAGGCAGGCCCCCTGAGCTCTGGAGCAGGAGCTTGCTAGGTGACCGAGCGCCTCGGTATCCCCATCTGAACAGAGGAGATCAGGCAGGCTCATGTGCAGTCCCCTCCCACTCTGCCAGCCTCAGGTGTTTGCAGGGAGCTGTGCCTGGCACAGTGAGGTGGGGTTTGGCCATGATCCAGCTGCTGTCTGCAATGTACTAGATGGGGCAGCCTGGCTAAGTCCAGCTGAGAATCCCTCCGAGGCGTTAGGGAGCTCACCTGGGCAGGGGAGGTGTCAGAAGCAGTGGGATTGCGGGCTGCCGCTGATCCTGAGAAACAGGCGCCTGCCTAGAGGAGTTCCAGCTGCCCCAGGCTTTCTCCGATTCTGAGGGACACAGTCCGGTCCCCGGCCCAGTGTTTGTCAGTCACGTAGCACAGAGGCTACCATGCAACCAGTTATTATCCCACTGCTGCTGCTGTCCCCAGGTGAGACTGTGCTACCTTGTTGCCTGTCCAGGTGCCCCACGTCGCAGTGCCCTGATTCTGACTTGCCAAGTTCCTGTTTGATCCCTGTGCCTCTTTGAACTCAAACCTACTGTAGGATTTTTTTTGTTTGTACAAATGCCCGGGAAGCACTTGAGTTGGGGACCATGATAAAGTGACTAGGCCGGTGGCAGGGGGAGGGTGGCATTGACTTGCCTGCTCACTGGGGGAACAGCTCTGGACGCTCACTATTCATTGAGTTCACAAATAATTGGTTACTGTCACCATGATCCTCCACAGCCACTAGAGGGTGGAGTGGTCCACGCTTAGTCGTGGGCCTTAGCCCTCCCTGTCCCCTCCTCCTGCCCTCCCTAGAGAAGGGAAATCCCTAACAATTAGACAGCCTCCCAGGGAAAACTATGCAGAACTAAACATGTGTTAGCAAGTAGAACAAATAGTTCTTAACCAATACCTATCTGGGTTTCCTTAAAGCCCACCGTCCATCTGCAAAACACTCTCCATATGCTTTTTCATTCAATGCTATGATACTGACATCATTATTCCAGGAGAGAGGGCAGACAGGCTCTGAGAGGTGGTGTGATAAGCCCAGAGTCTCCTAAGCTATCCAGGCCACCAGCACAGCCATGGTGGCCGTGGGTCTTCTGCCCACCGTGGCCTTTTGCCTCCCTCCCCGCAAGTTCAGCCTTTGCTCAGCTGAGAATATGGGTGAGCTTCCCAGAGGGCAGGCTCTGCCCTACGTGAGATCGAAAGGCAGCAGAAGTGTCAGAAATGCAGTGATGGCACATTGGCACCTAGAGAGGCTGCACTGCAGCTGCCTGTCCTGTCTGTCCCCTCTGTTTTCCAATCGTCCCTGGGCGGCTGTGGCCTCCTTGGCTTGGCACTGCTCTTTTTCCTGCTTGAATGCCCCTGCCTCCTTTCCTCACCTGGCAAATTCCTGCCCACCCTTCAAGACCCCACTCAGATGGCAGTGTCTGGTGTGAAAGCCTTCCCCAAAGGCTTTGGGTGGCACCTCTGCGTCTCTGGCCCAAACAACGCCAGGCACAGTGAGGGGGTCAGCATGTATTTGTTGAATGAATGAATGAATGAATGAATGAATGACATTCTTTGATTTAACAAACACCTTCCCTGTGTGAGGCACTGTATGCGAGGCTGAAATAAATGATGCCATTATTAGGCACATCAGTCCCTGTTCCTACCTTTCCCACTCTCCCCCAGCTGAGAAAACTCCACTGTTTGAGGCATCCTAAGGGGCCTACTAGGGGAGGCCGCCAGGTGGGATTCTGGGACCTGCTGGGAGCTGCCCAGTTCCTGCCCCCTGCCCCTGGCCTCTCTGCACCATCCAGAGCCCAGAGCTGAATTCCACGCATGGGGCTCTTAAGAGCTAAGACTCCCAACCCCTTCACTAAGGGCTGTGTTGAGGCTCTGAGCTGTGTATGTAGAACAAGGAGCAAACCCTCTGCAGGTTGCAAATGACAAATCAGAATCTCTCTTCCTCTCCTTTTTCTAGAACCTCCGAGACCTCTGGTTCACCTTTGCCGGCTGCAAGTTCGAAAGGCCATTGGGAAGTATCGTATAAAACTCCTGGACACATTGCCACTCCCAGGCAGACTGATTAGATACCTGAAGTATGAGAGTACTCAGTAACCAGGGCACGTGGACAAGAGGTGCACCTCAGACTGTCTCACTAAATCTCAGGACGGCGGTGTCCCCACATCCATGGGAACCTGGTGACAGATGAGGCTGTGGCTTGATCCCCCTGAGCTGGGGCAGCCACCGTGACTCACCAGGTCTCTGGGCCAGAGCTGTGCCCAGAGCAGAGAATGGAATGTGTCAAGTAGGAGAAAAATCATGTTTGTTTTTAAATGGATGAGTAGATCCAAGACCTTCTCTGCCACCCAGAATGGCAGGAACCTCCATTCCTGGAGCAGGAGAGTCTGGCAGGGCGGAACTTGGGGTGGGCCGAGGCTGGAGCTCTTTCAGGGGTGAGCCTGCCTTTCCTGGACAGCCTCCCTGCAAAGCGGGCCCTTGCCCCTTCCTCTTTGCTCTCTGAAACTCTCCACTTGACTTCTGAGCTTTCTCCCTGAAGATGTTGCCTGGTGGCGGGTGGGGAGACCCTCGATCCTAGAGGGCTTTCTTTAATACAATAAATGTTGCACAGATGCTGCTGTGCCCAGCACAGTCCCTCTCACCAGACCCCCCAGGGCCTGGGGTCCTCAGCCCTGCTCCTGGGAGGAGTGGGGGTGGGGCAGGGGCTGGGGACAGAGCACACAGACCCCTGAATGTGTTACCTTGGTTTGGGGTTCTGAAAGACCCAAGAGAGTATGTCTTTCGTTCACCAAGGGAGGGGCAGCTTCCTGCCTGTGGTTGCTTTCTCTCTCCTGGTTCAATCACCATGGAATCAAGAACCTTATCACAAACAGGGTCTCTGTGCCCACAGATCTCCTGACACCTGGGATTGTCCCACACAAACATGTTCCCCGGCACTCTGTCTTCGTGTCCGGCTCATCCGTTCTGCTACAAAAGTTAAGATACTAGGGGAAAACACTTCAGTACTGGCTACTATGGGCAAAGGTGCTGGCATCATGACCATCGTCAACCCTTGCAAAGCCACCAAATTTGAGAGGCGTGAAACCGTGTCCCATCCATTGCCCCCTTCGGTCCCCCTGTGGCTCTCTGGGGTGCCAGGCAGGAGCTGCCAGCCTGTCTTTGACGGCGCAGGAGAGAAAGCTGAGCTCTGGCAGTCACGGCACTTTCTTGTCCGAGTCCCGTGCACTGAGGCCGCAGCGCCCTGTTTCCGTGGAAGGTGCAGTGACTCACCAGTGTTGCCTTCCCAAGTGTAACCCCAAGTGACCCAAGCCACGGGTCAGAGGGGAATTGGAGGTGTCTTGCCCACTCCCTTGTGGTACAGATGGGGAAACGGGCCCAGAGAGGGGAGGGGACTTGCCCAGGCACACACAGCAGGTCCCTGTGGTCCCAGCCTGAGAGTGCTTGGCCCCAGCCCCACACTGCCTTGCTGCAAGGATCCTGAAGAAATCCTAAAGGGAACCGTGTTCTCCCACACTGAGGTTGTTCAACCCCGATGGGGTGGGGTGGCAGCCAAGGACGGGACAGAGCAGAAAGATGTTGTTCAGGTGCGTTTGGGGTGGGGCCTGGGTATCATACTCAATCTACGGCATTTCTTAGGTCACCTTGGGTCCTAACAAGTCCTTACTGGTAGTGACCCCAGGCACCGGATGAGGACCTGGGTCTGAGGGAGGCGCCCCCTGGAGGAGGTGAGGCTGAGGAGGGAGGTTGGAGGAGTGGGAAGGAAGGCTCGGCCACTGTGCATGGTGCCATTTATTTATAGGCTTAGGAGCCCCTGGGCCTGGGATGCTCCCATGCCACATTTGGGCTCTTAGATTATTGATGTACATCCATGCCAGTTGGTCACAGCCACTGGTCAGGGCCCCTTTCCCCACAAGTACCTTGCCCAGCCTTGACCTTCTCAGGTCCCCGCCCCCCACCTCCCACAACCCAGCAGCTAAAGGGTTAATGCTGGGCCTGGGGCCTGCTCCCACGGTATTCTGATTGGTTCATGCTCAGGCTGTGCGGTTGGTACATCTTTTAGCCATCATTGCTGGGTTTTGCAGCCATCACTCTATGCAGAACCCCCACTCCCACTCCCATACTTCCCCAGCACCCTGCCTCCCACCCACCCCGTCCCTGGGGAGGATTTCAGCCTCAGAGACGTCTCCACAGCATCACCAAATGCTTAAAATCCTGAACATCTTAATGCTTAAAATCATGAACACAGGTCCATGTTGAGAGCAGGAGCATGTCTGACCTGGTGCCAGGTATCTGAGGCTGTGAGTAAGAGGTGAGTGCCCAGGTTTCACTTCAGCCCAATTCGCTTTCTGGTCAGTGGAGCAACAATACTCAAGCCTTCCTGGACGTGTGTTTCCCCCCAAGCTGCTCCTGCATGGGAGTCATGGTGCCGGGTGCTTCTGTTGAGCCGAGCAGCGTCTTAGTAAAGGTTTCTGCTTCCGCACAAGCCTGGCTGCATCTGAATTAATACATCTCCCGCTATCCCCCCGGGGAGGTTGAGCCAGGCAGGGATGTGGCAGCCCGGGCAGGGTGGGCTTGGGCAGCACCCACCCTGAGAAAACATGTCTTCCAGAGCTCCTTCTCTAGGGAAGGGGTGGGGGTGGTCCAGTCCATAAACATCACTGAAATATGGGCATGGCAGGACCTACTGACACTGCCAGGTAACCGGGAGAGTTGACTTGGTTTGTGCAGCTTTTCATTATTGGGTAGTACTCAGAGTGCCAGGCACTCACATCATCCCCACAGCAATCCACACGGCTGGTTGATTTTCAATCACATTTTTCCAATGAGGAAATGTTGGCACAGAGAGGTTAAGTGACTTGTCCAAGGTCACATAGCGGGTAGGTGGCAGAGCCCAGATTAGAGCTTTGAGCACCCTGTTTTACAGCGTGGAGGGGCTGAGCCTCAGCAGAACGGGTCCGGAAGGGCCTTGGGATGATGTGCATGGGGAGGGGAGGGGACACACTTGCTCCTGGCCCCTGCCCGCTCTTTAAGAGCGGAGCTGCCTGAAGCGAGGGTCCCAGCTGAAGACTCCTCCCCTGTGTGCCAGATATCTTCTCGGAACAACTCGGCCTGTGCCACATGGCCTCTGTGGCTCTGAAATCCTCCAGCACCATCAGACAGAAACCCGCCAGCTTCCTAGTGAGCAAGCTGCCCTCCACGTCAATGTACCGCCCCCTCCCCCGGAGAACCCTGGAGTACAAGTAGGCAGGGTCGGAAGGGCCCTGAGCAAGTGCTAATCTTGGAGCCTTAATGTCAGGAAGGATTCTGAGGTCTGCACAAAGTGGAGGACACCACAGAGGGGACCATTCTCAGCCCCACCCCTCATTCTGCAGGGGGGGCAAGGAGGCCCTGAGAGGAGGGGTCAGGCCCCACATCCCACAGCAGAGCCAGGACTGCAGCTCCGCCTCCCCTAGTACCAGCCTCCCTATCCCCAGAGCAGTTTGGACCCTGTGGGGATCCAGGCCTCCCCCAGTCCCTGTCTTCTGATGCAGTAGAACCAGAGCATCGTTCCCTGGTGGCTTGTCCCCGCCCTCCATCCTCTGAATTGAGCTGTTGGCCTCCAGTGCCCATTACCGGGCACCACAGAGGCCTTTGGGCCACTTCTGGCCTCCCCCACAGCCAGTCACCTCCATAAGCTGCCCTCCATGTAGGCACAGCCAGCATTTCTTAGGCCTGGGGGCTATTCAACGTCATGACACCCAAGATGTGGAAACTGCAAAAGGAATGTCTTTATTCTTTTAACCTTTTAATATTTACAAAGAACAAAAGAAAATAAAACAACAGAACTGAGGTTGGCTTGTACAGTGGGTGGCAGATGAATAGATGTGTCACTCGGGTTTCCGGGGTGGCTGGCAGGCCAGGGCAAACCCCGGCTGCCCCAGGTCTGCACGGGGACGGCAGGATGACAGGTCAAGCGCCGGCCTGGCTGGGGAGGGGCCGCGGAGCCCAGCCCCATGGCTCCCAGGGCAGCTGCCTGAGAAGCTCCTGCCCAGTCTTGCCCTCTCCCTCCCACACACACACAAAGGGGCCACACCACTGCCAAGCCCTCTCCTCACGAGGAGAGCTCCGGGGGTTCCCAACACCCCTGCAGATCGGAGGTGGGGCCCAAGGCCCTCCCAGCCCAGCTAGAGGTAGCCAAAGACATTGAAGATGGGTGGAGGCATGGTCGGTTTGGTGGGGATAGGCTTCAGAACCACAGGTCTGTACACTTTCTGCCCCAGACTATCCACATCCTTGCAGAAGTGGGCCAGCTCCCCCGAGGAAACCGGGCTCTTCCTCCACAGGGCCAGGCTGGGGACTGGGCTCGGAGGCAAGGCGCCTGGGTAGATGGGCTGTCCATGGTACTGGAAGGGGCAGCAGCTCCAGGCATTGACACGGCCCACCAGGGAGATCCCGGGCATCTTGAGTGGCTCCTTTTCAACTGGTGCCCTTGGGGACATGGGCACTGGGGCCATCTCGGGCCCCAAGGGCTCCACGCCCTTGCAGTGTTTTTTACCCTCATAGGGAGGTCCCTCCCTGGGGCCCAGTCCTCCCTCCAGCCCCACAGGGTAGCTGTGGGGGGGCCTCGGCTCTTCCCAGAAGGAAGCGGGCAGCTGTCTTTTCCTCATGGGCACCTGGCCAGGCCTGGCAGCTTCTGGATGCTGCCCCTGGAGGGTCTGCTCCTTAGAGAGACATTCCTCCCTGTAGGGGTTCCCCAGAGCCTTCTCCTTGCAGCTCCCCATCCCGCCAGGGCTGGAATCACCAGAATCGAGGGACAGTCTCCCAGACTGGTCCTCAGGCCCCCTTCTCAGGTGAGGCTCGGCCCCTCGGCCGGGGAGTCCCCGTGGAAGCCGAGAATACTTCTGGGAGAAGCGTTTGAGCTGCTTCTGCAGGTACTTGCGGTGGTCCACAGAGCGGCGGCAGGGCGCAGACTTGTCCAGGGCCGCCTTGATGTCACTGGATGCCAGGTTCACAAAGTTCAGCAGCATCTTTACGTCACTGTCAGATGCCATCACCAGGGGGCCACTGCACAGGGCTTTCCATGAAGAGAGTGGTTCTGCTGGTGGCTGGCAGCTTCAGGGAAGGGCCCAGAGCTGACCTGGAGGGACACACAGGCCATTGGAGTCTGTCCAAACAACCACACCCAGCCCTCCCCAAAGGCCACGTCGCTGCACACAGTAGCCCCAGCCCCAGCACCCCTCAGCCCCAAACAGGGTCATGGGTGAGGGGCTGCCCATTCAAGCCCCTAAGAATTCTGTGAGCATCTGTGATGGAACAGGTTAAACACATTGAGTCTTCTTGGGTCTGTTGCCCTGTACTTGCAGCCCAGGCTCAGAGAGGTCAGGTGACTTGCCCAAGGTGACCCAGCTATAAGTGGCATTGCTGGGACTGGAGCACAAACCTCCACACTCCCAGCCCACCGTGCCTCCCAAACACCATGCTGCCAACGTGCACAACTTGCCAGCAAAGTTTTTCATTTCGGAGCAGAGGCAACTGCTCCACTTTAAAGCAAACCCAAGCCCCCTCTCTCCCTGTTGGTGCTCTCCTCCTTCCACCCCCACCCCCAGCCCTGCTAGACCAGCCCCCCCTCCTCTGTCCCCACGCTCCACCCCCAGCTCACACGCAGGACAGGCAGGACCCCTGTCTGGCACTCAAGCTGAGGCCTGCCTGGCGGGCTGAGCTCAGGCTGTGGGCAGCAGGGACTCCCCTGTAGAAGCATCTGCAGCAATTTCATGCCTCCTGGGCCACCACCCGCAGCACCTCACCCCTCCCCCGGGCTCCAGCCTGCCCCACCCCCCCATCCAGTCCGGCCCAGCTGCCTGGTCCTCCACACTGACCGAGGGTGTGGGGCCCCGGGCCCGCCAACGTGGCCCGGCCGTTTCCCCACCGCAGACCTGGGCCAGGCCCGGTGCGGCCCGCGAGCTCCGCGCGTCCGGCTGGAAGCAGTTGTGCCGCCCTCGAGTGGGCTGAATGGAGGACGAGTCCCCGGAGCTGGGGGGCCCCTCAGGCCAATCAGGAGCGCCTCTCCAGATACAAAGCATCCCAATCAGGCGGCAGCGCCCCGTTCACACATTCTTTGCCGTCACAAATTGTCACCATGGGGACCATCACAAAAAAGACAGCTCCCAAATGCAATCATTTCCCGGTAAATTTCTACCCTTCAGCTCCGCTTCCCCCCTCGGCCTCCACGCCCTCCTCCCCTTGACCTCGGTTCCCTGGTTTCTCGAGGGGGCGGTGTGTGTGTGTGTGTGTGTGTGTGTGTGTGTGTGTGTGTGTGTGTGTGTAAAAAGTCCAGGGTTGAGGAGGGGCAGGGCTCAGAAGAGATGGGCATGAGATCCTCCCCCAAGGCTCCAGGCCGGCAGCTGCCATGCTCCAGTGCTGACAGACAATCGGACGGGTAAGCCGGGCAGGCGGCCTTCGGACGGGCGGCCTTCCCCGCTGTCCTTGAGTGTTGAGTGGCTCTCTCCTCTCTCTCTCTCTCCCCACCCCCGCTCACTGAGGCATGGGCCCTGGCAGGCCTGTGAGGGCCAGTGGCACACTGATGTGGGCAAAGGTAGCCGGGAAGGACTCTAACGAGAGGCTGGCATATCCATGGGAAGGGAGCCGGAGCTCTCAGGAATCTTGTCTTTATGTTTGCTTCCTCAATTGAGCTGCACAAAGCCTGAATTGCCCATTCAGTGCGGCCGGACAAAAGGTTGGCGTTGCACGGTCCCCTTGCATTTGTAGTCAAACAGTTAGGGACTTAAATCGAGTCGTCATGATGGAGAAAGAGGTGGACAAAGCCCATAGAATTGCCATCAGCAAACATTTTCCTGTGTCATATTAGCTAGTCTCCATGGCTCCCCCTGGCCTGGGGACAATGGCACAAGTTTGCACACTTGGCTACTGTCACCGTGCCAACGCCGGCGGGGCTGCAAGCAGGGCCGCTCTGAGTGAGCAAGGGAGCCCCAAGCCAGCCGTTGGCCCTGCCCACCAACCGGCCAGAGGGAAGGTGAGGCAGCCGGCAGAGGGAGGCTGCCTTGGGAAATGCTGATGGGCGAGGCCTCCATGCCAGCCAGCCCGGTACGCCCCCTACGCCTCCTGCCTTTCCCTCCTCCTCTCCTTCCTCTTTCCCCTGCCACCTTCTCCTCCTTTCCTCTGGTCAGCTGAATGGCTGGTTGTCTATACACCAACCCACAACTTTGCATCACAACCTAAAATGCCAAGGACTCCACTCCGAAGTCTCCCACTCAGACTGGGAGCACTCACAGAGCTGGGCCGGGGCCTCACCCAGGAGTGATGGGCCCACCCCCTCCTGCTGGCCAATAGGCAGCTGCCCACACAAGGAGCCTGCCCACAGTGGCCTGGCTCCAAGCCACCTCCCCCTCTGGCCTGAGACAAAATGACGGGTTTGGTGGAGATGGCCTGCGGCAGGGGGTGTGTGGTATCTCCACACCCCCTCCCCCTGCTGTGGGGGTCAGGGAAGGGTGGACAGAGATGGAGGTGACCTTGGACTGGCGCATCCTGGTCATTGGCGACCACTTGGCCCAAGAATGGCCCCCATCTGCAGCAACCTTTGCATGGATGAGAACTAAACTGTTGTCATTTTAAGCCCCTGAGATTTAGGGGTTACTTGTTTCTATGGCATAGCCTAGCCCACCCTGACTGGAGCAGAAAAGGTGTTTTCTGCTCCAAATCACCCTATACACACAACTGGGAAAAACACCCGAGAGCACCAGGTTAGGCTCCTGCCCGACTCCCATCACGGCCCCTGCTACCTAAGCAGGGGGCCAGGGAACATAGCCTGGCGTGTGTTCTAATCCCCCCACACCCTGGGGCCAGCCCACTGAACCACCTTCTCCATCATTCTCTCCTGGGAGACTGGCCTCAAACCACCCTGGCCGCATTCCCGGCCTGGCCTCCTGCACACTCTGCGTCTGCTCCTGCGGGTCCCTCTCTCTGAAATACCTTCTCCTTTCTAAGAGCAACAAGGCCTTCTCACGCCACTCCGCTTGGCCTCAGCTCCTCTGAGGTTCTGTGGCACCTGCAGTCTCTTCAGCTCATCCTGGCGTTGCCTGCTTGTGACGTCCTCCTCTTGTTTCCCAGCCAGTAATGACCGCCACCCCCAAGAGGTCGGCGAGCTCTGTGGGAGTCAAGTCTGAATCTTAAACAAATCTTTCCATCGCTCTTAACATGGGCCCTTCTTCCACTTCCAAAAGTGTTCTTCCCACTTTTTGAGGGAATAGGGAAGGAAAGAAGGAAGACAAGAGGAAAGGGAGGAAGGAAGGGGAGAGGAAAATGGAATGAAGAAGCCGATACTTGTTGGGCACCTGATATGGACCAAGACCGTGACCAGTGGTCACACATGGAAGACCTCAGCTGATCCCGTGGCAGCTCCGTGAGGATATTCTTGTTGCCTTTTTACAATGAGCAAAGTGAGGTTGAGTCACTTTCCCAAGGATCACAGCTAATAACTGGCAGAGCTTGAACTTGAAGTCAGGCCGGTCTGCATGCCAAACCCGTGTCGGTCCAACCACACCACGCTTCTTCCCTGAGCTCCTGTCACCCGGCGCTGATGAAGTGCTGCTGGGTTTGAAGGCCTCGCAGACCAGATCGGCTACATAAGTCTGGGTTCAGCTCTTCTACCCTCTGTCAGGTCGTGACTCTCAGCTGCCAACTCAGGGTGGGAAGCAGCAGCTATCGTCGGGAGATCAATCCAGGGGAGAGGAGGCAGCTGTGGCTTGAAGAGCTGTGGCCCAGGAAGCTGACCCATGTCCTGTGCTGACCTGGCCACACCCCAGGCCTCAGGCTGGCCCTCTGGGGGCTGCCTTTGATTCCTGCTGGGGAAGGCTACTGCCTGTTTTTCTGAGAAGCCAGATAGACAGGTGGAAAAAAAGTAATAACAATTATACCTCACTCTAGAGAGCCCTTTCACCATCATTCACTCATCATGGTCCTGTGGGCAAGGAAGGAACTGTTTTCCTTATTTACAGCTTGTGGCACACCCAAAGACAATCCTCAAACCTCTGATTCTTGGACCCAACTCAGGGCTGCTCAGACAATCCTGTCCTCTAAATGTTCTTCAAAGTCCAGCTCAAACATCTAGGACGACTTCCAACTCCCAGCATTATACATGACACTCTCTCCCATTCCCTATATTTATAGATTCAAAGATAAAGTCTAACCTCCTTAGCTTAACACAGAGGGCCCTTTATAATCTGACCCCTACCAGGGTCTTGCACAGAGTAGCTTCTCACTAAATGTTTAATGAGTTAAGTACTTTGCCCCCTCCGCTGAACAGAATTTTCCCTGTGGACTACAAACAGCTGTTCCTTGTCTTGTCGTTTATTGTTTGCCCCACCCACCCAACCCCACCTGGGTGAGCTCCATAAGAGCAAGGAGCTCGTGTGCTGGCTCATCTCTGTATCTCCAGTGACAAGAATGGCTTTGGCACAGGACAGGCCTTAAGGACCCTTGTGGTTGCTATGGTTGCACTTGATGGTGAGCTGCCTGTGTTCCTTTGGGACTGTGGGTTCCCTGAAAGCAGGATGTGCCGTTTCACAATTGCATGCCCTCGTGCCAGAGCAGGGGTTCTGTAAAGCTCTATTAACGGCGAGTGAGCTGTGCTGATTTGAACTTCAGGGTCTCCTCCCGACCATCGGCTATCGCTGCAGTGAATCCGACATGCCAGCTGTGCTAACCTCACCTCAAGTTCATCCACACCACTCAGCATCAGGGACTCCCAGCTTGGAGTCAACTCCATTCAGCACCTACTATGTGCCAGGGACCAGGAGGTGTGGGGTGGACTTACTTGGCTTGCCCCTCTGTCCCCAGGGCAATTTGTTGGAGGAGAGATTGACTTTGTCTTGATGACTCAACAGCCATCTTCTGCCCACCCACTGGTGAGACAGAACAATACAACCTAACTTTCCTTGGTTTCCCAAACAAACTATTAGGAGCCACCCGTCCAGAATCTCTGGATGTCACCCAACATAAGCCACTTCTAGGATTTAACCAACACAGATGCAGACGGACACTGAAAGTGAGAGGAGGCAGTTGACAATGACGTGCACTGGTCAAGCCAGAGGGGCCAGGGAGATAATCTGGGGTGATAGGCTTTCAAATTATTTTTATGCAGAGAAGTCCATTAAAAATTGTTATGTGGGGGGCCAGCCGAGTGGCACGTTGGTTAAGAGCTGGCTTGGGACGCCAGAGGACCCCGGTTCGGATCCCACATATGAGGGCCAGTGACACTGCCCTCTACAGCTAAGATGCTGAACAACAGCTCAACCTGGAGCTGGGCTGCT